GGCAGGTCGTTTGGGTTGTTCCTTTTCCTCTGAGCGAACCTGAATCGTTTCAAATAGTGAATTAAGAAGTTCAATATTTTGTTACGCTTGCGTTAAACTCAATCAAATCCTAACAAATGCCCTGATAGCCACTGTGTAGATGCCATGTTTATGTTATTATTAGGTTGCTCCCACTTGTCGGTGCAGTTATATCGCTGCATCGATCCAAGCTGCAGCTTACTTCTATTCGACATATGGACGCCACCTATTCGAAACGTTGCCCATGTAATCATTTATTTCCTCACAAAAGTATGCAACTTGCACCAACTGTCAGTGAGATGGGCAAAGTGCTCTGCCCATCAATTTTATTGCCCCGCGCGTTCGCAGCGATATTTTGCATGTCGCCTGTTTGACAAACTAGGTGCTTAAACATCCTTCGCTCCACTGCTTTCCTCAACACAGTCAGTGCTGGCTCTTCTATTTTCGCCAGTGATCACGTTTCGCATCTATTCGTCACTATTTTCAATACTGTAGTACAAAAGACGTAGGTACGGACCTTTCGATTCAACCTTTGTGGACGTCGGAGTTTAAAATTTGTATCAACCGCAGCTTTTTTATATCCAATTTTTGGGAGTAGATTTTGGTATATATTCATTTCCTATACAAGAGAGACATTAAGTTCTTCTAGGAAAGCACAATCTACCTGCAAGAACTGAGCCTAAAAATTAATGCATCAAGGATTTTTTCCGTTTTCAGTGGATTAATATTCGGGTTCGCCTACTAAACATCTCCAGCAATTCAGTATTCTTGCGAGTATTGTTCGCGAAAAAAAAACTAAGTCGTTCACAAAAAGTAAAAGATTCAGTTGCTCATCGCCGTGTAAATATATAGTTCTAATTATAAAAATTATATAATGTCTTTTTTTTTCTTTTTTTACCCTATGATTCAGGAATGCCAATCGCATTCCTCTCTGTTTACAATTTCTTCATTTACGTCCTATCCCTTTTTTTTCATACCCACAAAAACCATTTCATTTTCCATTTATCATCTTCCTTATC